AGAAGCAAACCCTGGAGTGTGACATCCCAGGCATTGTCTCCAATTTAATCTTCAGGCCATTTCCCCCCCTGCACACGCAGCCCCAAATTAGCATGTTCAGGAGCACAGAGCCCCTTTCATGTTTACTCATCCTTAGATTGCAAAAATTGTTGTGTGAATTCCTTCTCCAATTAGCTCTGGTACTCAAAAATAAAATATTGTTCCGTTGCCAGCACAGTTCTGATCATTCCTGTCCTTTATACTTTTATTCCCCGGAGTCACTTGAAAAGCGAACGCTCCTTCCTCCTCCCCTGCAAAGCCCCTTGGAAAATTTTTAAAACAAAAAAACAACCAGCGATTCTAAAGGAAAGGCTTTGGTGGCTGAAGTGCCACTTCCATTCACCTTTCCATGATGGAAGGGAAAAAAATAAAGATCAGAAGGAGGATTTAGACAAAAAGCCAACTAAGTAAAGGTAATTTCTAATACAGAAGAATCTGCTCGTTGTGTGGAGGTGCTTTGTAGAGTGGAACAGAACAGACATCAGAGACTCTGCAGCAGGTTTTCAAACACTCCCAACTTCTTTTCCAACACGCCACCCAATTCCACACCAACCCAGAGACACATTTTGGAGTGCCAGTGCCCATGGAATGAAGGTGAGGGAGACCACCCAGTCCCTGCCCACGACGAGCCCCGGCCAGAGGGACACGGGGGCAGAATTGTGAGTGCAGCTGAAAACAGGCACAGAGAAGTTCTGCTTCTAAGAGCCACTCAGGGTCACCCCAAAGTCCCCAGAGCCACCTAGGGAGTGTATGAGCAGTAAGTGGGACAGAACTTGGGACATCTTCCCTCAACCACCCTCATCTCCTCACCCACTGAGGGCTTGGCCCCAACAGGACTGAGAGCCCGACACGTTCACGGTGACAATCCCCACCCCAGAGAGCTGGCCACGGAGATAATCCTGGGATAGTTTGGCTTGGAAGGACCTTAGCCAGCCCAGTCCAACCCCCTGCCATGGGCAGGGACACCTTCCACTAGCCCAGGGTGCTACAAGCCCAGTCCAACCTGGCCTTGGTTAATCCCACCTATTAAAACCAAGGTTTGGTACTGGAGGGATCCACCTCCATGGCAAAGAACTCTGAAATCCACAAATGGATCCTTTACCCATCCTGTATTTTTACAGATATTATCTATAAATATTCTACATTTCTTTCTTTTCCCTCCTTGGGTGACTGGAAGGACTTGGACCATCTCTTCTCCTGTGGAGTGACCAGAGAAATCACACACAGGCTGTTGTCACACACAATAACACAAAAAAAAAAACCAAAACACCCAAAAACCAACTGGATACACGAGCCCTCATTAAAAGCAGGGGACAGGGAGCAGGAGAGGAGCTGCCTGTGCCAGCCGTGCCCCCCGGGCAGTGCCGCAGCCGTGATTTCCCACTCCAGCAGTGAACAGGCTGCTGGAATCAAAAGAGCTCCCCGGCACTCCACCGGCCCGCAGCTCCCATTCCAGGCAAGGAAATTTGCATCCAAAGCATCAAGAGCACTTTACCTCGAGTTTAAAATAAATTCAGAGCAGATCCATGCCGCCAGCTTGTGTTTGTGACTGGAATCCCAGCCAGCGCCAGCCGGAGCCTCTCCCCAGTGAGAGCTCGGGAAGAGGGGATGGCGCGGAGCAGGAGCAGGGATGGGAGGATGGGGGAGGACAGCACAGCTGCAGCTGGTCCGGCACCACAGGCCACAGCAATTAGTGCTAATTGGGGTATCAGCCCCCTGAGCCTGAAAAGGAACGAGAACTGTCGCAGCTCCCACACAGACAGAGCTTGGAAGCACAACACCATGGAATTATTTAGGTTGGAAAAGACCTCCAAGATCATGAAATCCAACCATTCCCCCACCACTGCCAAGGCCACCACTAAATCATGTCCCCAGGAGCCACATCCACATTTTTTTTGAACACTTCCAGGGGTGGTGACTCCAGCACTGCCCTGGGCAGCTGTGCCAGCCTGGATCCCTTCCTTTTGGGGAAGGAATTTTCCCTAATACCCAGGCTAACCCCACAGGGTGATGCTGTCCTGCCCTGTTAGTTCATTAGCACTGCAGTTAATCTGGCCCAGCCGTGGGGGTGCTGCTGGGGCAGGGCTGGCTGTTCATGTCTGTGCTGGTGCTGGTGGCTCCTCTCCATCATATCAGGGCATCTCAAAACCTTCTCAGTCCCAGAGTCATAAAAATCCCTCCCAGACAAGTACTGACAGGGCCAGCTGAAACCCAGAGCAAGAGCCTCTGGTGCCACCGGGAGAGACCCTCCCCAGGAGTCACCCCAAAACCTGCTGCTCCCCCACCCCGAGGCCAAGAGACACAGTCCCCAAAGGGCACTTCCCCACAGGGCACTTCCAGCTCTTCCCAGGCAACTGCTCGGGGGCAGATCTGCCTTTCAGGGCACCAGGATTTGTCTCCAGCTTCCCCAGGTGCTGGCAGTGCCCTGGCAGCTGCATGTCTGGTCTGTGAGTGCCACCTACAGGGATCCCCCGTGCCCCAGCCCCTCGTGCTGCCCCCCAGAACCCCACCAGAAACCAGGGTGAGTCAGGGAGCAAATGAAACCCTCTTCCCCCTCGCTGCTCCAGCAGCAGAGCAGGACCCGGGGACACAGCCCAGGGAAGGGTGGGACATGGGGAACACGGATTCCCATTTCTCAGTGCCACTGATCCATACAGCTGGAATGAGATGGATGAGAAGCAGATGTGAGAGGCAGGGAACGCCCTTGGTTTTGTTCTGGGTCTAATTCCCTGCAGGGAGGAGCCAGGACATTCAGCCTGGACAAGTCTGGGGGACATTCATGGGGGCCTGCAGCTTCCTCAGGAGGGGCAGCTCCAATCTCTGCTCTGGTGATCAGTGACATGACCCAGGGAACAGCTGGAGCTGTGTCAGGGGAGGGTCAGGTTGGATCTCAGGAAAAGCTTCTTCCCCCAGAGGGTGGTTGGCACTGCCCAGGCTCCCCAGGGCAGTGGGCACGGCCCCAAGGCTGCCAGAGCTCCAGGAGGGTTTGGACAACGTTCTGAAGAACAAGGTGGGATTGTTGGAGTGTCTGTGCAGGGCCAGGAGTTGGACTCGACGGTCCTTGTGGGTCCCTTCCAGCTCAGGAGACTTGATGATTGTATGATCCAGGGAACAGCCTCTCCTCCCCTGCTCCCAAATAAATAAAATGCATCTTGGTTCCTCTGCTGTGGAGAGGCCAGGATGGCCCTCGCTGGGATTGTACTTGGTTTTCTATACAAGAAACTGAATTAATGTGGGAACAGGGAGAAAGGAAAGGGAGGAGACTCTAGAAAATTGAAACCAACTCAGAGATAATTGGAGAATCACAGAATCCCAGAATGTTTGGCTTGGAAGAGACCTTAAAGGCCATCCAGTCCCACTCCCTGCTGTGGGCAGGGACACCTTCCACTACCCCAGGTTGCTCCAAACCCCATCCAACCTGGCCTTGGACACTCCCAGATGTGGCACAGGGTGAGCAGCAGCCCCAAGAGCACATGGGGGGACAGTGTCAGTGTCCTGTGAGAGGGAGCAGGGCAGGGGGAAAACCCAACAATTCCATAAATCCACGAACCCACCACAGCAGCCCCGCGCCACGGAGGGAGGGGTGGGCTGGAATGCTTTATTCCACTTGTTCCAGGTACAAGGGAGGGGATGCTGCAATGACAGGAAAACCATCAATGGATACAGGGCCGGTGGCATCTAAAGACAAATCAGCAATTCCACGGGAGGGTGAAACAGGAGCTGCTCCTCGTGGAGCTCAGACAACAACGTGCTCAGGGGCTGTTTATTGACTCCACGGCACCCACTCCCACCACAGGCCCCTCTCCCAGCACCTCCCGGGGCTGCAGATCCCATTCCAGGCACGGGAACACGACAGGAGCATGTGGTGAGTGACAGATCCCACTAACCCCCAGAGGGCCCAGCTGGGCTGGGCAGGTCAGAACCCACAGCAGAGCCCCCACAGAGCCTCCCAGAGCAGAGAGGGAGCGTGTAAACTGCAGAAACTTGGCTTTGGCTTAAACAGCAGCGACTGCCTGGAGGTCCTGCTTGAGGTTCCCTCTGACCCAAATCATTCAACATCAAACAGATCCTCCGCTCCTGCAAGGTGAGGAAACGTGAGAGTTGCAGACCCCGCCTGCCCAGCAAGAGAGGAGCCCAAGGAATGCTCAGGGTTAATCACTCCAGGTAAAGGAAGGCCCAGGAATGTGTCGGTTGCAGTGGACTGGGACAGTTGGGCTCATCTGGGTTCAAGAGCACAAGGAACAACTTTCCAGAGGAACTGAAGAGCCAGGGAAGTTACCACCATGTGCAGCCCTGCAGGATCAAGGGATCCCTGACCATGGATCACACAGCTCCCATCATCCATCTGTGGCGAGACTGAGCCATCCCGGCGATTCCCACACGGAATCTCTGCCTGCTTCCACCTGCAGCAGCTCCACGAGCAGGGAGCACCTGGATCAGGTGTGACAGGATCCCAGTGACAGGAAAGCAGGGCCCATCCAAGCGCTGAGAGCACGTGGCAGCATGATTAAAAACATGTATCTGTGTATTTTAAAATCATTTGTGCACGTGCGAGACGGAGCTGCCAGGGGAGTGGGATTTCTCCAGGAAACCTCCCCTGCCCTGCACGGAAAAACACAGCCCCTCCATGATCCCACCAGGATCCCACCAGGATCCCAGCACTCCCTCCTCCGCCTCAGGGGATCCCGGAGCACCAGCCAGACCCCAACACTTCCCTCTGTCCCCTCCTGCAGTGTCAGCCCTGCCCCCTGATCCGCAGGGGACGTGCAAACCAAAGGAATGGAGCCAAAGACATTCCAAAGACATTCTCAATATTCACCTTAAAGGTGACTCAGGGACCTCCCTGCCCGCAGGGCAACTCCCCTGGCTGCTCCAAACAAAGGCCCTGCCAGCTTGGGGTGCAAATGGGATTTAAGGATGCACTGACACAGTTTCCAAGGAATGGCCGTGGACAGGAGCACTTGGCAAGCAGTTTTCACTGTTTTAGCAGCAGATCCACCCAACAACGACCTCCTGACACATTCACCTTTGGTCCTACACAATCAGATCCCAAATATCCACACAATGGGCTGCAGGAAAGATCCCAGTTGAGTACCAGCAACGGAGTGAAACTCCAGCACCCTTGAGAGGAGATAACTCACAGTTCAGGGCTGTCCTGAATCACAGTCACAGGGGTCGGGGGTCCCCTTTTTCCAGTCCTCAGCTGCTCCAGGACACTCCTCACACCTGCAGTTCAGGTGGTCCAACTCACACCTGGCTCTTCCCCAGGTGTCTCAAAGTCCAGACCCTGGCAGATGTCACACACGTGTCCCTGGTGTCACACACGTGTCCCTGGTGTCACACACGTGTCCCTGGTGAGCACACGACTGGGGCTGGGCAGAACAGTCCAGGCACTCCCAGCCCCACAGACCACACGGATGTGGCTCTTCTGGAGAAACACCCCTTTGGGTTGTGGCCCCTCTCATTTATAAACATGTCTGTAAACCCAAGAATGACCCAAGTGTGTAACTGCTAATCCTGCAAAATTGAACCCATTTAACTCATTCCCAAAGCTGTTCTGTCTGAGCTATCACACCCCCACCCTGTTCTGTAATAGACACCCAGAGCTCTCCCAGCTCCTCCTGGGCTGGAGCTCATCACAGAGACACTTCCCAAAGAAGTAACCTGATATTGCATGAAGGAAAGAGGATCAGCCTGGAAAAGGAATCCCCTCATCTGATGCTTCCAGCTGACCCCTAGGGCTGAGACAGAGAGATATGAGCACCCTGTAACACCAACACCCTGGGCACGGCCCAGAGCTCGCATTTCACGTGCTGAGCATCGTCCAGGAGCATCACCTCAGCACCTCCCCGTGCAGTGAGCAGCTCCCAACGCACCTCAGCTCCGCCTTTCCCCAGAAATGTCCCCAAAAATGCATGTGAAGAAAACAGATTTGGTCCCCTTTCCCCTGCCCCAGCTATGGAAGGGTTTGAACTGTTAATTAATAGTCACTGTAAGCAGACACGAAACTTGAGCACTGGAGATTCCACTGGGCTTGGACCCTCTGTCAGTCCGGGCAGGTGGTGCTGCTGGTCCCGAGTCATCTGCAAAAACAGGGAAAAAAGGAGACAGCCAAAAATCAGGGGGAGCATGGACAGTGTGACGGGGGGGGAGCTGAGGGCTGGGCAGCTGCTGAGGTGACATTCCTTCAGCTGCCGCTCCTTGAGCTGACATTCCTCCTCAGCTTAAAAGACCCTCCCCCAAAATCGAACCTGTGGGAAGCACGGATGTCCCGATGGGACTGGGAGTTTGAACTGGGATATGATTTGGAAGCAGCTCCTAAGCTGAAAAAACTAGGAATTTTTGTTTTCCTGTCTAACACAGGGAGGCTCAGACTGGGCACAAGGGCTGCCTCTCCCTCCAACAGCCCTGGCGACCCCACAGCAGTGTCCAAATCACCCAGGGACGTCCCTGTCAGTGAGACCTTTCTGGGTGAGAAAATGAGGAAAAGCGAGATAAATCCGTGTGTGCCAACACAGAGACCACACACAGGCGTTTAATTTATGCAGATCTGTTTGTAGGAGCCGTGCCAAAGCTCCCACGGCTTTAGGAAAGGCGCCTCAGCCCCTTGCGAGGAGAAGAGAAACACACAAAACACACAAAACACACCAAACCCTCCCTCACCGCCGCAGGTTCCGCGTCTCGAACACGGTGTCCTCGTCGCTGTCGAGGGAGCCCAGCTCGATGTTCTCGTCGTGGCTCGAGAGCAGCCCGTACTTCTTCTGGGGCTTCTTCAACCTGAAACGGGTTTGGGGCTCGTTCCTGGGGGCCTCAGACCTGTGGCTGAGGGACAGGGAGGGCACGGGGAGCTGTTGTCCCACCGCAGGGACACGGCGCCAATCCGAGCCAAAGGGCAGAACCAACGGGACCGATGAGAGGTGGCTTGTCATTGCTAATTACCCCGGGTAATTAACAGCAGTGTGGATTTACAGCAGCACTTTGGACCGCTGACAAAGGGATGCACACGGGAGCAGAGCCCTGGCTGACAGAGGGAGGGAGGGAGGGAGGGAAGGGGGATCCCGGGAAAATGGGTACAAATCTGGGATTAGGAGAGGTCCGAGGCAGGCAAGAGAACAGGGGACACTGTGATCGGCTCCAGGGGGACCCAGATCAGGACTGGGACTGGCAGGATCACGGTGACGGGGGGCAGGCACCGGGACAACCGGGACCAGGACAAGCAGGGACACATCCCGGACCAGGGGGAACCAGGACTGGGGCGAGCAGGGCAGAACCCCGGGACAGGGGACACCGGGACCCGCAGGGATACGGACACAGCCCCGCCGGGGGTACCCGCCCCTCCCGCACTCACCGGAACGCCCGCAGCACGAAATAGAGCGCGGCCAGCGCCGACAGCGCGCTCAGGACATACACCGCCCGCCTCAGCACCGGCAGCCCCGGCCCCGCCAGCAGCCCCGGCCCGGGCGGGCGCCGCGTCCCCGGCGACGGCCGCGTCCCGTTCCCCGCGGCCGCCCGCGGCGCCTCCGTGCTGTTGGCCGGGCCGGGGGCGGCGGCGCGGCCGAGGGGCAGCAGGAGAAGGAGGAGGATGAGGAGCGGCCGCATGGCCGGGCCGGGCCAGGCCGGGAGCGGGGCGGGAGCGGCGGCCGCAGGAAGGCGCCGGGACGGTGCGCTCGGCGCAGGCACCGCCCGGGCCCCGCGGAGCCGCTCGCGGGTTCCGGGGCTCCGCCGTTCCGGGCCGCTCCTGACCCGCTCACGGAGCCTCGGCAGGGCCGACATTTTGCCCGCAGGATCATCGCTGTCCCCTCACGGCCGCCGCCGCCTCCGCGGGGCCGCCATTTCCCCCTCGCTGCAAGACCCCGTCCCTCAGAGCCGCCATTTTCCCCTCAGGGTCGTCCTTCCGCGCTCGGGGCCGTCATGTCTCCCTCGGGGCCGCCATTTCCCCCTTACAGCAAGACCCTCTCCCTCAGACCTGCCATTTTCCTCTCAGAGTCGTCCTTCCTCCCTCATGGCCGCCATTCCCCCCTGAGGGCATAATTTCTCCCTCGGGGTCGCCATTTCCCCCTCACAGGAAGACCCACAGGGCAGCCATTTCCCCCTCAGGGTCGTCCTTCCTCCGTCGGGACCGCCACTGCCCCTCCAGGGCCATCATTTCCCCCTTAGGGCCACCCTTTCCCCCTGAGAGTCACCATTTCTCTATCACAGTAAGACCCTCTCCCTCAGAACCACCATTTCCCCCTGAGTGTCACCATTCCCCCACCATGAGGGCCTTTCCCACGCCGGGGTGGACACTGCTGGAAACAGGAGCGTTTTGAGCATTTCTAAACACCGTCTTGTTCCTCCACAGACACTCCAGGCTGACCAGGGCTCTGTCACTGCCCTGCACCACCACTCTGCTCCCAGATTTCCCTCGGGGAAAGTCTCAAGCTGCCCAGACACACAGGACTTTAAAAAGGGCATTTTTGTTAAAAATGGGTCACCCAAGCTCACACCAGATGTCACATCAGCCACATGGCACCCAAACAAATTCCCGAGGATGCCACCTGGTTCTACATCCAGCCCCTGGATCCAGCAATTCCTTCATCTATCTGTGCAACACATCATTATTGCAGCGCTGTAATTAGCAGTGCCAAAAATAACAGCACCTCCACCCAGGCTCTATTTTTGTATCTATTCATTATTCCTACCTGCACTAAAGCATCCTATTTAGGGAGGCCTTACAAAGCATTACTTTTAAGTATTTTCAGCTTGAATTCGTTTGAACTTCACCTGACTGCATTTTTCTCAGCAAAGATTCCACACACTCTTGAGCTTTCATTATATTTAATATCCTTCTGGGGCTCTTATTACTGGGAAATGATGTGTGAGGAGTCCCCAGGGCTCATGAGTGAGCACCTCACTTGCCACCTCACCAAATTCCAAGTTTATCTGTTAAAAAAAGGGGAGAAAAAGGCAGGACGAAGCAATCAACTATTAATACAAGAAAATCGTGCAGGAGCAGCTGAGACCATCAGAATCTCACTGCCCTCACCCCTCACGCTGCCATACCCTGCCCAAAACAGTGTCAGCCTCTCCCAAGATAAATCCTACTAATTAGTGAGCTGCCACATTTTTGGAATTTAACCAAAAACAAGACCTTGTTTTCCCTGAAGATCAGGCATCGATCTGCTTGGAGCCCCAACCACCACAGCACTGGTGTGTTCTGTGCTCTGAATTAGGCTGTGCACCAGGTAAGTTTCTTGCCAGAAAAACACTCTCATGTTTCCCACAAAAGTACCACAGAGATTTGGTTTTTTTTTTTCCACATTGCAGTATTTTATTCTGGCTTAACTGACTTGTTCAATTGACCCATGTAAAAATCAGCACCACCACTGCTCTGGGCTCTTCATCTCCCCACTGCACTCAGGGTCTGTCCTTCTCGGTCTTCTCTGATGCCTTTCGGTGCTGAAATGAAATAAAACAGAATTAGAAGGGGGACAAAGATACGGGGACCCATGAAAGAGGGTTAACTGGACCACTCAGAGCACAAGGCTGCGAAACAGGGGCACACCAAAGCTTTTGGGTCAGGAAAAGCTCGGGGGAGCAAGGGGTGGAGAGAAGGGACGTTACCTGGTTGGCAAACTCAGTCTGGCATCCCTGGAACGCAGCTCTGGTCCCTCAGGATCCGCTCAGGCTCCGGGCCGTGCCCCTGGTCCCTTCAGCCTGCCAAAGCAGAGAGGCATTAACAGGAACGCCGGGCAGAGGCTGCACGTCCCCCGCCTCCCCCACACAGCTCACAGCGTACGAGGGTCTCACAAGCCATCGCTGAACCCATCACACCACAAAGCACAGTCTGGGAAAACTGTTCCGGGCCGGCTGCTGCCCGTGCTCAGCCAGCCCATGGATTGGATCCCTAAGCAGAGAGTTAACACTTGGACATGGCTGCTTAGGAAGTGTGGGCCATGGGAAAAAGTTAATGGCAACAAGTAGGATGGCAAAGAAAGCTACAATTAAAGTGAGCAACTTAATGAAGTCTAGGAAGAGTCTCAATAGATGAACACATATCGAGTCAGGGAGTTCGTTCCCATCTTGCTTCCGTACCTACAGCAAGACACGGCTGCATGCCCAACTCTGATCTGTGGAACCCAAGGTGTGCCACAAGCCAAAGGTTGCATACGGCATGGGTTAAACGTTTTTCCAGCAGCTGACCAAAATTGTCAAAAGGAATATTTCACAGGTACATTAGACTTTCAAATGAGCTCTCAACAAGAGGAAGGATGCGGACATGAGCAAAAGGAGTTACCTCGAATTACAGGACTATTTCCACATATGAACTAGCCAAGAGAGCAGCTCTCGTCTCAGAGGTTTCTGTTGGAGGCACAACACTTCTTTTCTCCAAGGACACTGCAGTTTCCATTTGCTAGCAAAGAATTCTTAGAACTTGTAAGCAATGACACAGCTACCTAAGCCCGGCATTCCCCTACATCGCACACGCGCTCGGCACGCAGGGAACAGCCCAGGGACTACAGCTCTTCTCTACAGCTTCCCAGTGTAGGCTACAGCAGGTTTTGAGCAAACATCCATTAGGCCTTCCTGACATTCCGACTGCGCTTTGCTCCTAACACACCCTCAGGTTTGTAGTTCCAGCCTCTAGACAAGTTTGACCGTTTTACGTGAAATTTGTTGGCCAATTCACATGTCAAGACCGATTTTAGGAATAAATTCCAGCACTTGGTCAATCGTCTGGCTGGCTCTGCCACTATCCCTAATCTTCTCCTCTCGCTCCCAGATTGTTCTTCGTCTCCAAGGGTTGTGTTGTGCAATGAAATGTAAATGTCAGGAGCAGAGTTCATTTCAGACGGTCTTTTAATAGGCTTCGTAAAGCCAAAGAAAACTGTATACAGGAATCCTTTACCACTTCAAATACAACAGCAATGGAATATGCATATTTCTTCCAGTAAAAAAGGACAATATAAATAAACATTTTCAAGAACCTCTTTATGGTAAGTTTGCAAGTCTAGTTCTGGGTCATTTACATCGTTACAACAGTAAAAATACCGTTATGCGGGTTGAACATACAAGCACGTTTCTCTTTAGATATATCAAGGTGGTTTGCCTTCCAACGGAACCCAGGCCGCATTCCTACCTTGCTACACTAAAGGAATGTTACAAAAGACGAAGGTAATGCACTTGAAAAAAAAAAAAAATAGTCCACAGCTTGTTCAGCTTCCAGTGAACATCGGTTCAAAGTCCTTTCTAGCTCAAAAGAAACTGAATTGGGGCCCCAACTTTAAAAAAAAAAAAAAAAGTAACACCTTGGCTCATCATGGAGGATAAAATAAAATCTGAAGTGCTTTCAAAAAAGATTAAAACCACTTGAAAGCAGAGCTTTCTCCAAGACAGTCTAATCAGACCATCTCATTTCAGAAGCTGCCAGGCTGTGTTTGACAAGATCAGAACTGATAATACTACAAAAGTGAAAATACAAGTAGATGTACTACACAATAACCATTTCAGCGAAGCTCCAAAAATCTTTATAAATACAGCCATTGGAAGGACGATCTTGAGTCAGGAAGGATTTTTACTCGTTGTGTGTAGCTGAGGACAAGAAGCAGGCACAATTGTAAAGGCACTGAAGCAAAGACAAGTTCCAGCATTTTACTCCCTTGCATTATTCCGAGGCTACTGCTACTTGGCTACTGTGAGATCCCCCACCCGCGGGTCAGAGCGTAAGGGCAGCCGAGTTTGGGCTCCAGAACAACCTTTTTTAACACTTGCTTTGCCTTAGATCCGAGCAACTCCTGCACATGCATTAAATTAGAATCTCCCGGCACCACCACGTCCACAGCCTGAGCCTGCCCCACTCCAGGCTCAGGCTCAGCAGGTTCAGAGCTCCTACAGCACACGGACTCAGCGCTCCCGCTCGGAGCGGCACTTACCGTAACTGTCGTAGCTGTCTCTGTAGGAGCCTCCCGAGTTCCTGTCTCCATAGCCACCTTGACTCCTGCGGGACAAACAGCACCTGCTTCACACCTGCTCGACCCTTCCCGTGACACCCACCGGGGCTGGCAGAGCTCCCCCCACGACCCCCGGCGCTGCACAGGCCTTACCTGCTATTATAGTAGTCTCTGGAGCCGTTATAGCCTCCGCTTCTGGAATCAAATCTGCTGCCGCCATAGCCTCTCTCTCCACCTCCTTGGGAAAACAGGACACGTGGTTTTATTAGGCAGTCTGACAAGTGACACCCCCCCCTCCAGGCCCTGCGGGTCACCCACACGCTCTCACCTCTGGAGAAGCCGCGGCCCCGGCCTCGGCCCCCGCGGAAGAAGCCCCGGCCCCCCGAGGACCCCCCTCTGTAGCCACGGGATCTGTTCTCGGAGGATTTCCCAGCCTGGTCCACTCGGATCTGACGCCCATCTACGGACTGAAACAGAGCCACAATTAGCCCATGCAAAAGTCAAATATCTAAACGGCCAAGCACATATGCGGAGAGTTACAGAGCTTCACCATCAGCCAAGCACCACCAGAATTTACTGATTCTTACACAATTCTTTATGTCCTGTCACAACTAAGCCAAATAGACAAATAAACTGCTATTTAAACCAGATATAATTCCTATTATATAGAAATTCCTATAAAATTCTACTCTATCACAGTTATACAGGTAAAACCATAGAATTTTTGTATCAGGTATAAATTGCTGAACACATATTTGTAACATCATTAAACCATCTTATCTACATCTGTATAATTTCACGCCCTTGAAACACTGGCATTTATCTGTTTTCCCGCACAGACTGAACAACAGCACACGTCCCCTGATTCTCTTATGTTTTTGGTAATAAAGAATCAGCCCCAAGGCCTCCTCACCTTTCCGTTCATGGCCATCATTGCGTCTTTTGCATCATCGATGTTTTCAAAAGTAACAAACCCAAAACCTCTGGATCTCTGAGTCTCTCTGTCTTTAACCACCACGACTGTTGAAAGGAGAGATGGAAAAAAAAAACCCAAAACATCAGCACCTGGGGAATGTAACAAGCCAGTGGAAGCCAGCCCGCCTTGACTCTGCAGTCTCACCTTCTGAAATCTGTCCGTATTTAGAGAAGACTTGCTCCAACGACTGCTCGTTGGTGTCGAAACTGAGCCCGCCGACAAAGAGCTTTCCCTCGTCTGATGCCATCCTGACCTGCCAAACCAGCAGAACCAAGTCAGCGACTCAAAAAACACATTCCCAACGAGGTCCGAAAGACTAAACCGTTCTAACGCCACCTATGACAACAACGATGTGGCCTCTCACTGCCGTACGAGGCTCCTCGCACGCCACCGAGGCCGCGACTGACGCGGGTGGGGGGGTCTCCTCCCGGCCCCTGGGCCGAGCGCCGCCCCCGCGGGACCCACGGTCCCCGCCCGCTCGGGCCCAGCGCGCATGCGCACGCCGCGGCGCCGCCTGCCGGCCGGCCCGACGCAGCACCGCCCCCTCCCTCCCGCCCGCCGCCATTTTGCACGGCCGAGGCCCCGTCGCCATTTTGTTTCCGCGCGCGCGTTTCCCCCCTCCGCGGCCTTTTCCCCTTCCCCCTCCCGCCTCCACACACACGGCCCAGCCGGGCCCGCTCCGCCGCGCTCCCCACGCCCGCGGCTCACACCGAGCGCCGGGGCGGGCGCCGCGGCCCGGCCTACCCTGTGACCCAGCCCTCCGCCCCCGGAACGCGGCTCCGCTCGGCGCAGCCCCCCCCCCCCCGGCCCGGCGCGGCCGCGGCCGCCCCTCGCGGCGGCGCTCACCGGTGCCCGGGCGGTGCGTGGTCCACACAGCACTTCAAAGCCTCAGCGCAATGTACGGCGAGCCTGGCGGGGCGGCGCCTTATAAACGTCCGCGCTCCGCCCCGCCCATCTCATGAATATGCAGATTAATCCCGCTGCAAGGCGGGGCGATTACGCCACCAAAGCGCTGCCACCGCCGCACCACCCGATTGGGCGGTACTTCCTTAATATTCATGAGCCGCGGCGGGGAGCGAGGGGAGGGGCGCATAAACAAAACAGCCGAGTGGCCCCGCCCCCTCCGCCCACCCGGGGGCGGGGCGCGGTGGGCGCCGCCGATTGGCTGCGCTCGCGGGGGCGGGCGGGAGCGCCCCTGTGAGAGGGAAGGAAGTGGAGGCCGCTGATTGGCCGGGGGGGCCGCACGCCCCGTCCACACCGCGGGCTGGGGGCGTGGCCGCGCTGCCCCAGTTTCGCGCCCTTCTCGCAATGCGGCGGCGGCCGCAGACAAAGGGGCCGCCTCAGGGGCCGCCGCCATCTTGGGCAGCGAGCGCTGCCCCCGGCCCGGACCCGGAGGCTCCTCCCGCCCTGTCCCCTCCTGTCACCCCCGGCCCAGGGCCCCGGCCTGTCACCACCCTTCCTCCCTGCCCCACGGCCCGTAGGGAACGATCCCTCCAGCCTCCTCCTCTCAGTGCCGTCCCACACACATAGTTGGGAGAGCTCAGCACGATGAGTGCGAGAAGCAGCCAAAGCAACAAAAGTTTTGCTCAAAACATAATAATAAAAGATCTTTGCTCAGCCCGTTTCCCACTGGAATGTTTAAAAGCCCACCCTGAGGTTTCCTTAAGGTGAGAACGCCTCCAGCAGTAAAAACTTCCGTACTGAAAGAGGAAACTCTGACAAAGATAAACACGTGTCTCAGTGAGGGGCTACAGGGGTTTGAAAAAGCCCTTAAAATAAAAATGTTCAGTGTTTCATAATTACAATCTCGTGTAGAAAAATGTTTTAAAATGTAGAAGAGGAAGGAACTCAAGGGAGGGAACAAATATATGGGAGAGGAGGAAACTTGCAGGAAGGAACAGGGAGGAAAACGGGAAGGAAACACGGCGAGGACGGGGCTGTGGTGTCACCGTGTGTGTCCCCTGTCCAGGGACAGGACCGGACACATCACGGGTCACTGTGTGTGTCCCCCGGCCAGGGACAGGACTGGACACATCGGCGCTGCTTCCAGAAATTCCCTGTAATTCCCACTGCAGTTCACAGCAGGAGCGTGTGGCCGCCCTCCTTCCGTTCTTCCGTCCTTCCCTCCCAGCTGCACAGAATAAATAAAACCACTGGAGGATGGAAATCAGGGCTCTTTGGTGATTGATTTCCAAACCGAGCGCTGAGACAAGAGAAAAACAAACCGCAGGGAGATGCAAAGAAATCCGCCTGTGATTGCCCCGTCAAAGCAGGGAGCGCCCATTCCGTGCCTCCCAGAGCACAGAAACTGGCCTTTTCCTCTCTGATTTGCTGTTACACCTCCGGGATTTGCAGGAAAAGGGCTGTTTATAAACAACACATACAGTAATTATGAAACCCCGTCGGTGTTTTTTCTGAGCACACAGGCCTGCAGGGGTGGGACGGTGCCACCAAAGTGCTCAAAAGCACCTAAAAAAGCCCAATATTGGTGACAGATCAAGACAATATTATTATTATTATTATTATTATTATTATTATTATTATTATTTCTTACTGTGAAAAAATTTACTCACTTTTCAGTCCTGAGAGCAAATTAACAACACTGAATAATGATAATTTACAGTTTTATATATATAATTAATTGTATCTGATATGTTCTGCAGCAAAGAAGAAAACACCCGTAACAGGAGTTGGACTTCCTTGTGAGTCCCCTCCAACTCAGAATATTCCATGGTTCTGTAAATATGCAAAGAGCAAGAGTTAAAAACGGGATGAAACTGCGAATAGAAGGAGAAAGTAGTACAGTATTTTATGCAAATGAGAAAACTGATTGCTGGTTTGAGACGGGCATTTCAATTTTAAATTCTGGGTCTGAATTACTGAATAAGTCTGGTGGGTTTTTTTAATTCCACCTAATTTTGTGTGGGGCTAATTCTGAGTGGTCTGCCAGGAGCCTGGAGGGGCGAGGAGGTGCATCCGCTGTCATTGCAAATTGATTTTTGCCCTTCAAGAAGGAAAAAAGATCCCAGCCCTGCACTTTGATTAAATTAGAGACCCATTAACATGAGCGTTTCTGGCCCGTGATGAGGGCAGATAAAGTGACCTTGATGCACGGAGCAGTTTTCCAGCCACCCTGGGACGCAGCGGGAGGAGCTGCCAGCCCAGCACCATCCCTGCTGCAAACTCGAGGGACAAACACCAGGATTCATGGGGTTTTGGCTCCTCACACGAAGCCAGGCAGGTCGGATGTTGCGAGAATAACCCTGTGAGCCTTTGCTGCTCCAGAGGAATTCGAGTCCCAGCAGGATGAAAGGCTCGTGGGAGCAGTGCAGCTCCTGGGACAGGGAATGGCGACTGCAGCCCTGGCTGGATTTGTCCCAAAAGGGTGACTTTGGTCTCACCTGGGTGTGTTGATGCCTTTGCTTTGACACTGACAGAGTTACCCAGAGAAACGACGAGAGCTGGACCGAGGAAACCACATTCCTGCCCCAATTCCACAGCTCCCAGGAGCTTTCCGTGCTCCAGATCTGCTCGTTCCTGACCCAGGGCATCAGACACGGTGTGTGTCACGTCAGCCGTGGCCTCGATGATCCTCGTGGGTCTCTTCCAGTGCAGGGTATTCCATGACCAGGCTGCACACGGGGGCTGCAGCAGCCCTGTGTCACCTGCCCGAGGGGCTCAGGGACATCTCTGCACATCCCAAGGGCTCCAGCTGCGGCTGGAAGCGGTGCTGGGATCAGGATGGCGAGCAGCTCACCTGCACAAATCATTAGGGCAGTTAATTAAGCAATGAAACAACACAGGATTCAGGTCCTGCAGCGGCAGGGCCCTGCCAGGGGTCGTGAACACATGACACCCCAGAGGCAGAACACAGAGGTCACTCTGCACCAATCCTGCCCCAGTCCCTGCGTAAGCTCCAGAGCCTCACCCGTGGGTGTTTTCTCCGAGGGTCCCCACTTGCTGTGGTGTTTGCAGGGACCTTTCCCAGTCCTTCCGCTCCTGGCCGGTTTCCAGGGCACACGGAACTGCCCAGAGCTGTGCAGGAGCCCAAACCTGCTCGGCAGCCCTGGCACCTGCTCAGGAGCCAAGGGCAGCCCCCGCCCCGGGCACCACTCTGATGAGGTTCCCAAATCCCAGAGCAGCTCCTCCGGGGAGGGGAGCGCCGGGAGGGAGGATGGGACAGAGGGTGCCCGAGCGCCAGGGACAGCGCTGGGTGTCTCTGCTCTGGGGCTGGGCCTTACCCAGGGCTGGGAGGGAACACAACCACCCACGAGCCCACGCCTGCTCCAGGCTCTGGCACCTTGTTCCTCCCCCTGGGCCTCGGGGAGCCCCCAGGACCACCCTCCTGCTCCGGGGCACAGCAGAGCCAGCATGGTCCAGCGAGGCCCAGCACATCCCGAACAGCAGAAGAGCCGCCTTCTCTCCCTTTGTTTTTGCTGGGGCTGCAGGGAAGGAGGGAATGCGAGGCTGGACTGAAGCAGCCATCCATCACCAAACCTCCGGCTCCTTCCCCGGCTCCCTGCAAGCTCAGCCTGTGCCACCAGCAGAGATGCCACGGCGTGGGGAAGGCACACGGAGCCTTTCTGGCACGGGAGCACTCACTGTCCCTGGCATGGGAATTCTCACTGTCCCTGGCACAGGAACCCTCCCTGTCCCCAGTGTCTCAGCCCTGTGTGACCACGCACTGTCCCATTGCGGCCCCAGACCCAGGAGCAAGGAGCAAAACACTGAGCCGGGGCCGAATTTGGGAACTGGCAGTCCCAAAGCTCCCGGGGAAAAGAATATTCCCTTCTCCCTTACTCCTGTCCCTGAGGGAGTTGCTCATCCAGCTTTGCAGTTGGAAAGAAAAGCCCTGACGCAATCCTGCTGTTGCCATGGCGAGGAGCCGGGGCTGCTGCGCTTCCCTCGGCCGGTTACTGGGACCGGGATTTACCGAGTTGTAGGACAAAGCCACGGGGAATGGGGGGGACTGGATACACAGGAATCAGATCCGTAGTGAGCGAGGGGATTGAATCCACAGGGAGCAGGGGAATTGGATCTGCAGTCATGGGGGGATCGGATGCACAGGGAGCAGGGGGATTGGATGCACAGCAAAAAGCTGGGATGCACAGCAGCGTTGGGATACCCAAACCAGAGTATTATAGGAAATGAGCCGAGGTGAGGGGGGATTGAGGGCTGGGAATGCCGGTGCACCCCGGCTGAGGTGAGGGGGGATTCGGGGCTGGGAATGCCGGTGCACCCCGGCTGAGGTGAGGAAGATGGTGAAAATAAGCATGTGGTAACCATGGCAACCGTGTAAGTGCCTTGGCACTGAGCAGCAGATTTATCAGGGCTGGTGCTTCCCAGCCAGATTATGGAAAACCAAATCCTGCGTGTCAGGCCATCCCTACCTGCCCAAACACAGCCAAATTTAGAAACGACTGCACCCAGCACACAGCGGCTCTGGCAGCGGCCTTGTCACCCCGCGTGGGCCACAGTCAGGCGTTGCTGTGGGATTTGGACCCTTTTCCAGCACTCCCAGCTCGCCGGCATCAGCACAACATTCCAGACACTGTCACACCAGCATAAACCCTTCCCCTGCCAGCTCTGCCGTGCTGGAGAGCCTGGCCATGCCACGGCATCCAAACCTGCCTGGAAAACCCAAGTGGGGGCTGCCCAGGATCCCTCCAGCATCCCCCCGTGCGGGATGCGGCTGCTCCGGTGTGGGAAGAGCAGCAGCAGCTGCAGCGACGTGCGGTTTGTTGCTCCCACCTTCCCTCCTGTCACCCTCCCGGCTGCATTAAGGACTCAGCTCAGTTATATAAGCGCTCATTAATCATCATCTAAGAGTATTTGCAGCATCGAGTTCTTAAGGGCAGGAGATGCTACCCAAGGACAGGACAAACAGCCTCTGACCGCGCGACACCGGGAGACCTTGTGGGACGGAGGGCTGGAGACGTGGGAAGGATTTATCCACAGTCAGCAGGGGGAAAACTGCCAGGAGCCAGGAACACAGCATGGGGTGAATTGCACACCGAGGGGAGCCAGCCCCGGTGCTGGGGGAAATTGGAGCTTTTCCAGACCCCTTGTGCCCCTCCACACACCCCCTCTCACTGGTGGTGGCACCGCCTCGGGCCGTGGGGACCAGGTAGCAAAACCTCACACTGGGGTTTGCTGCCACAATTTGTCGTGGGGCCAATAGTCCCACACCCCCCTCAAGCCTGTGCAGGGTGGCCTTTGGTCCAGCTCCCTGCACAAGGGTCCTGGAGCTCCCCAGAACCCCGGTGTCCCCCCAGGACCCCACATCCCCCCACTCTCCCTCTTTGCTCTGCAGCTCCTCGCCATGTGCTACCATGTCCCAGCGAGGGCACGTGAACCACCTTGAGCCCCACAGCCCCCCCGGGCGGGTCGATTGCCATGGGCACGGGGGAGCGAGCCGGGATCTGCGGGAACAGCCGCGATTGCAGAAATCCCTGAACTGCAGCATCAACGTTTTTTCCTGCCCAGAAGGTTCCCGCGCCCTCGCATGAGCTCATCCTGCACCGTCCCCTTTCCGCGCCTCCCGTAACCCAACCTCTCCCAGCCCTGCGCCGCAGAGCAGGAATGAGACACGACAGCGGAGCAGATTCTTGGCTCCCTGGGTCACTCTCTCCCCGCGCTGCCTCTCGGGAAGCTCCAAGTCATGCGACTCCTTCTCTTTTTTTCCCCTTAAGGTGGGGAAACGAGTCGGGAAAGTTCCCCCCGCGCTCCCCCCGCGCTGATCTGAATGGAGGCAGGTAGAGGCAGCGTCTCTGCCTCCAGCAGCACCACACCTGCCCTGGGAGCCGGGCGTTCCGCAGGGAAAGGCCGGATCCTGGCACTGCACAGGCTGGTACCACCCAGATCAGCTGCCCCGAGCTGAGGGAGCAACTCCTGGAGCAAAGAGGTTTTTAGGAGCTCACCCCTAGCCCTCCGTTGGGGCAGGGGGATGCCCTTCGTGGAGCAGCCAAGACCCCCAGCATCCCACTGACCTCACACCTCTGCAAGGAGCCACAGTGCTCATCCCAGCCCATCCCAGCATCCCACCACCCAGTGAGCTTCCTCAGACAAACCTGCACAGAACCCTCTTTTTCCCCCAGCCCTCCCTATACTGCTGCCAGGGAGGAGATGGGTGAGCTGAAGGGAAGTGGGGGGCTGAGCCCCCCAACGCCCTGTCCCCCAGATGGCAGTGCCACGTAGCCCCGCTGGAAACCCTCCCTCTCGAGCCCCAACAGCGCAGGAAGCAGAGTTGGCTGCTCCCAGCAGCCCGGAGCTGCCCCAGAAAGCTGAGCTCCCCCAGCGCTGCCGCCGTGCTGGGAGCCGGACATGACCTGCTTCCCAACGTGGGATGGAGGATGGGATGGAGCTGCAGGATCCACACCAGCCCCACGCCCCCGAGACCAGTGGAGACCACCAGGAACCGACGCCGGCCCAACCCAGGCTGAGCCCCCTCCTCAGGGCTCTGAAAGCCCAGAAAATGCTTTGTTTCCTCCTGGCTGCTGCATGACCCTGTCCCAGCTGAGGGGTGTGGGGACATTTCGTCTTTAACAACATCTCGGAGCCCCCTCCCCTGCTCCCCCCAGCCCTGGCAGCCCCTCACCCTTACCCACAGGCTGCAGGCGAGGGCCAGGGGCTGGCGGGAGGGGGATCTGCCATTGTTCTGCACAAAGGGGGTCCCTGCCAAGGCCCCCCCGCGGCGTCCCAGGGGTGCCGTGGTGCCGGGCGCTGCCGTGGCCGTGGCAGCAGAGGGCAGCCACGCCACACGCACCGATCCTGCCCACGCGGCACCGCACGCGTGTGCCCGCGCAGCCCACGCCTGTGCCACGGCCCCGCTGGCAGCAATCCCGCGTCACCCCGTACCCTGGGGTCCTGTCTGTGTCCCCTGGCTCCTGGCTGCATACGGGGCTGACCCCAGCACCCCCTCAGCACCCCCGATCCCCCGCAGGGCGCTCAGGGCTGCGGCACCGGCGGCACCGGGCTCTGCCCACGTCCACGGGGTCGAACACGTGTGGCCAAAGCAGGCGTGGGCTCCCCACGTGGACCCCCGAGCGCAGCGGCCGTGGGTGCCAGAGGGTGCAGGGAACAGCGGGAGCTGCCTGGGGGCAGGCACTGCCTGCCCGAGCCCCCCCAGCCCCAGACCCCCAGGGTCTGCAGCTGCCTGGCTGTGCTGGAGGCGGTGAGCGGTCCCTGGGTGGTCCCGGGGCTTCCCCAGAGCAGGGCCCAGTTCCAGCCCCCTCTGTGCTCCCCTGACATGCCAGAGCCGCCCCCCTGCCCCAGACCCCTTCCAGCTCCCCCGTGGGGTCCCACTGCCGGCGCGGTGCAGTCACCAAACAGTGCTGGGCCCCCCGAGCCCCCAGCACGGGACGTGCACACACGTGTGCAGCCACACGCTGTGAAATCACACACGTGTGTATGTACGGCCACACGCGTGGATCCAGCAGCCCCCCCGGCCCCGCGCCGTGGGCCTGGGCCCCTCGGCAGCCCTGTGCTGCGCCCCACGGCAGCGTCGCCATGGCAACGCTCCAGATTTATCAATGGAGACACTGCGGGAACACTCTGGGGGAGGCAGGAAGGAGGGGGGGGTCTGTGAGAGCTGGCGGGGGAACAGCCGGACAGACGGACGGCTGGGGGGGTGCAGGAGGGTCTGTCACACTTGCAGTGCAATGGGGTGGGGGTGCACCGTGCACACGCGTGTGCCAGGGGAGCACCAGCACGGCACCCTGGCTGGCACTGGGGGCTGGGGGGCTCCGTGCCCTGCGTGGGCACAGAGAGAAGGTCCTGTGGTGGGGCAGCCGCTCCCTGCCTGCATCCCTGCCTGATCTCCTGTCCTTGTGGCTGGTGACAGCAGCAAGGGACAGAGCCAGCGGCGGTGGCAGGTCCCAGCTCCAGAGGGAGCCATGGCTGATGCAGGAGTGGGGGACCCTGATCCCAGGGAAGTGGCTGACACAATACCAGGGGGTGTCAGGGCCCTGGGGTTCCCCCTTCCTGGGGAAGTGCTGCTGGTTTTGCACGCGGGCTGTGACTCAGGCACCCGACACTATTCCTGTCCTGTCCCTGACTCAGCGTGTGGCTCCAGGCAGGACACGCTCCCCCCAGCCCCACGTTCCCACCACGGGGAAAGGGAAGTGGCATAGGGACCCGAGGAGCAGCAACATTCCCAGCCTGTGTGGGCCCCTCACCTCGTCCCCCCTCAGCGAGGCCGGAGCACGCAGGGCACCCGCACTGACCCCCCAGGCTGCACCCCCTGCCTTTGGCCTCTCCCTGCCAACGCCTGGGGATGGGCACAGCTGCCCACGTAACCACACCCGGCAGGAACGTTCCCTGCAGCCGCTTCCAGGAAGGGCTGGAGAGGAGGAGATGGGGATGGCGGGTTCACACCAGCTCAGCACTTTCGCAGCCCTCGCCAGCCCCATCACACCCGGCTCATCACACGCCTGCTCACACCCACCCCCCAAGCCCGCCCCAGGCCCCTGGCCAAACCCACAGCAGAAAGGGTGGAAAAAAATCCAGTAAACGACTGACCGTTTTCCAGCCTCCCCACAAAACATTCCTGACGTTCTGGGTGTGCGTGCGCACGAGGCCCCGGGTCACGCTCGGACTCGCTGGTGGTGACGGCACAGCCCCACCGGGGGTCAGGGGGACGGACCCTGTGCCGAGGGCACAGCATCGCTCACAGCCCCCCAACGCAGCAGGGCCTGGGAGAAGCACCTTTAGGCTGAGAACAGACTGAACTCGGCTCAGCAGTGGGACCTGCAGGTCAGGGGCTGCAGGACCGGGACGAGCCAGAGCCGGGCAGTTGGCTGCCACCCCCCAGCTCGCTCCCAGCCCGGCAGGCACGTGGCTGAGCTGCAGGGTGCCCAGGCAGGCCGGCCGTGCCATGGGCTGGGTGGTTACCTATGGTTGGGTTTTACACCTGCAGGCCCAGGGAGAGGCCACAGGGCCCCAGCCCAGGTGAGGCTGGACCTGGGAAATCCCCGGCTCTGGGAGCCAGGTGCCCGCCCGGCTCCGGCCAGCAAGGGCGAAAGGCAGGTGTTTGGGCATCCCAGGAATCACCAGGGCCCATCACCCCCTGCCTCAGGACCCCCGGGACCATCCTGCCAGCTGCAGGGCAGGGGTTCCCTGTGCACATATGTGCCCGTGACATCGCGTGTGGCTGCGGGGGCTCGGTGACCGGGGTGCACCGACGGCTCCCCGGTGCTGGGGCGAGGAGGAAGCTGCCGACACAGACTCGCCTGTTTGTTTGTTTAACACATGAGTCATTCCCCGATCACAGCGTCCCCGATCACGGCGTCCCTGTGTCCGTCCCCACCTGCCTGTGCTGACTCACTGCCGGCCGTGACACCCCAATGCCACCCGCCGGACCCCGGCCCTGCGCAGGGGCTGCAGCCCCACGGGGACACGCGGGGTCGGGGACACGCGGGGTCCGCTCAGGAGGGCAAACATCGCCCTGCTCGGCAGCCCCTGAGGCAGGAGCTGGGGAGGGCCAGGGCTAAGGGGGCTTGGCCAAGGCCAGCGGCAGCACCGTGCAGGGTCACAGGTGGTGACAGAGGGCAGGAGGCCACAGGCAGCGTGGGCAGCGTGGGCCAGGGCGATCTCAGCAGAGCCCGAGTGGCTGCACCAGTCATTGTGAAAGTGAATCTGGTGAGCAGGGCCTGGGAACGGGTGAGTGGGGAGGGGGCAGCTACTGCACATTGCTCTGACTCACAGAGGCTGCCCGTGCCGTGGCACTGCACCTTGGGCACTGCGTGGCACCGCCAGCACAGCACCCCGGGCACTGCACAGCACCAGTGACGCCGACACAGCACCCTGAGCACTGCACAGCACTGCTGGCCCCTGGCTCAGCACCTCAGCACCACAAGGCACCGCTGACTGCCCCCCTCTGCAGCCAGCTGTCCCCTACCCAGGTCCCCCGTGCTGCCTGTGGCACCCTGGACCCCCACCCGGCACCGGGCCGGCAGCCAGAGCAGCTGCAGAGCCTGGTGCCAGAGGTGGCCGAGCGCCAGGGGCAGGTGGAGCCGCTGCCGTGCCCCAACCCACAGCAAACCCAGGGCAGGTGGAGCAGCCCCGGCCCCTGCACAGAGAGGACCCCCCTGCATGGGAGCTCGGGGCAGTGCCTGGCACTGCTGCCTGGGGGTGGCACAGCTGCAGCTGCCCAAGACACCCCGGGAAATGTGCCCGAGCCGGAACCCCGCGCCCAGCTGGGGCGGGTCGGTGCCACCCCGAGCACCCGTGGCTGCCTCCTCCCGAGTGCCCGAAGGCACTGGGGTCCCCACAGACCCCACGGTCCCCATGGCCCAGGGAAGGGGCGTGTGCCCCCAGCATGGCTCCCAGCAGCCCCACGAGGACCCCCAGAACTCGCTGTGACCCACCGGGCCGGTCCCAGGGGCTCCACGTGGCCGCGATGGCCGGAGCGGCCGGGGAAGGGGGGGTGGGGAGCGGCAGGAATCCAGGACTGAGTCACGGCTTCCTCTGCGAGCCCGTGAGTCATCCCGGCAGTGCGAGGAGCCCGGCCCGGCGTGCGGAGCCCGCGACTCGCACACGGCTGCATGTGAGGGCAACCCCCGGCGTGAGCGCGGCCCTGAGCACCCACCCACCCATCCCGGCAGCGCAGCCACGGGGGCTCAGAGCACACACAGACACAGCTGTGCCCGAGGGCACAAGCACTGACACGTGTGTGCACATGCACACGTGTGCTCTCGCCTGCCCGTGTCCTCCACGTGCACAAACTGCAGGAGAACCCGCCTGTGCAAGGCACACACAAGTGCAGCCGTGTGAGGATCCACGCTCAGCCCCACACTGACCTGGAGCACTGCCCTGTCACACTGGTACCTCAGCCCCTGGGCTAGAGACCACCTGTGGGGCTGGAGCAGCAGCTTCTCTTCCACCTGTGGCTCCTCTCTCCAGGTGCCCTGGGAAGGCAGAAGAGGCTGTCTGGAAGATTTGTCCAGCTCCAGTTCCCCCCCATCCTCCCGGCCCCTGCCACACTCTGGAACTTTCTGCCACAACTCACACGGGCCCTGCGCCGTGGGTGCCCACGGCAGCACATCTGTCCTCCCCACACAGCTGGACCTGGGCTGCACGGGAGGGTGGGCGCAGGGTCTGCACAACCCCCCGCACACACAGCTGTGGGTGCACACGTGTGACCTGCACCCACCCTCGTGTGCAGGACTGGCGCACCCCGCTGCCACCCTGCAGTTCGTACCCCGACCCCACAGCCACCGCGCTCCCTGCAACCCTCGGGGCGTTTCGGGGTCCCCACCACTCTTGGGGGTGGTTCGCACTCCCCAGCGCCGGAGCTCAGCGCCACGACCGCAGAGACGGGGAGGGGGGAGCGGGGAGCGGGGAGAAGGTCAAGGTTAAGGCTGCGCGAAGCCCAGCCCACGATGGAAACTGCGGGGGCCGGGGGGGCGAGAGGGGGCCGCCCCCTCCGACGTGGCGGCCGCTGCCCGAGGCTCGGGGGGCTGAGCGGGCGGGAGCCCCAGGGGAGCCCTCGCCCTCCCTGCAGGTCCCTGCGCGAACGCGGGGACCCCCGAGTACAGCCGCCCCCCGGGCACAGCCGCCCCCTGGGTCCCGCCGCCGGGAAAACGCGCCCGCCCTCCCTCCCCCTCCCGGTCACACACACGGACCCTCGGGCGGTCCCGGGCCCCGTCCCGGTGCGCACGGGGGGGTTCGGGGGGCGCAGGGACCCCCCGGCCGCCGCTCGGTACCGGGGTGTGCGGGGGGGGCGGTTACCACGGTAACGGGGCTCCTCGCGCGCCGGGATGAATGGGCCCGGGAGCGCGCGCGCGATCTATGAATGAACGAGCCGGGGGCGCGGAAAGCCCGGGGCGGAGCGCGGAGCGCGGAGCGGAGCCTGGCGGGTCCGGCCCCGCAGCCCGGCCGGGCCCGCCGGGCCCCGAGGGGAGCCGAGGGGTCCCCGGGGGGAGCCCGCCTTCCTGCCAGCCGCGGGGCCCCAGCCCTGCCCAGCTCCCCCTGGCCCCCCACCTCCGCCTCTGTAAGCGGTTCCCAGAAGGCAGGATGGGAGGGGGGGCAGGATGGAGGCGGGAGGGGGGGGGGAAGGATGGGGGGAGCGGGGAGGGGGGCACCGCCTCATCTTCCCAGCAGGGTCTGGGTCAGCCCTGGGTGTCGCCGTCCCCAGGACGGCCCGTTCCCAGCACAGGCCAGGGGTGGGGAGGGGGCATTCCTGGGCTGCCTGGGGGCTGAGTCACCCCCGGCCACCGCAGCCACGCGCACACGCAGAGACACGCCACGGCCACACACGCAGCGTGTGCATGCAGCAGAACACACGCGTGTGGCCATGGACAGGCACACGCAGCAACATGAGAGCGCAGCTGCAGCCGTGGCACTTGGGGCACGTGTGGGCACACACGGCAACACACGCAGCCTTGGCCACGCAGAGACACAACATCTGCTCTCAGGGACCATGTTCACATACATGCACACACACGTGGATCTGCGGGGGGGTGCGGGCACATGGCCCTCAGCAAACCACCCCCCACGCAGCACAGCCGAGGGCTGAGCACCTTGCAGGTGTGACTGGCACACATGGGGGCCCCCCCAGCACCCCACTCCTGTGTGATGGAGGCCGGGGGGCCCCTGGGATGTGGCTGTGGGGGCGTGTGGCCGAGCGTCCCCAGGGCTGCGTCACCGCTGACGCACTGTCACTACCTGTGGGTCCTGCGGCTATAAATAGCCCCGTGCACGCCCCATCTGCTGCTCACACAGCGGCTCTGGTGGGGGGACACCCTGCTCCGTGCCCCCTGCATCACCGGGCCCAGGCAGCCCCACGCCAGCCCCAAAAATCTGAGCGGTGTCTGGAGGGAGCGCTGTGGCGGTGGCACTGAGCCACCTGGCAGGGCCTGGGCTGGCAGGGCCAGCGCGGACGTCACCAGGGCTCCTCGAGGTCCTTGTAAACACGGTGACGCACCGGCACTGCCCTCCGGCCCCGCGTCCCCTCGGCCCTGCCACGGTGTCCGAGACCACGCTGTGGGGACAGGACCCCCACGGCACAGGCTGGGGGATTGGGGTGACACAGAGAGTCAACCTTCGCCCACACCGGTGTCACTGGGGCCATTTAAGTGTCATCCCCTGTGGAGGCCAACTGGCCCGTGTCCTCTCTCACAACATGTCAGCTGGGAGATTTTTTTGTGGGGGGGATCTCCACGGGGGTGGGGAAGGGGATTTGGGGTCTTTGCTGCTGGCAAGGGCAGGCAGCCTGATTGGGACACCCAGTGGAGCTCCTGCTGCTGCTCTGTCCGCTCTGCGACCCCAGCCCCGGCGGGTGGGGGGGTCCCAGGGGAGGGGCTGGCGCCGCGCCCCCGGCCCCGCCACCCCTGTGATGTCACCACCCAGGCACGCCGGGCTCTGCCGGCCAGGCTGGGGGGGCTGAGGAGGCCCTGGGGCTGGGCAGGACATGGGGGGACCCTCTGCCCCCCCACCGGGCTGGAAGTGGGCCGGGGGTGCCGTGGGGGGGGAGGGAGGGGAAAGCTGAGCCCACACCCACACCAGCCACATGTGCACGGCCGTGTTCACACACATGTGCACATGCAATGCACACAGGCTGTGCGTGTGCAGCCTCACAGAGCAGTCCAGGGGAGCTGCAGCCCCTCACTGCAGGTGGGGTGCTCAGCCTGCACTGCAGGGACCCCTGGGGACCCCAAGACCCCCCCCAGCCTGTGCACGCTGGGGCTGCACCTGCAGCCGGGCTGTGGTGCACGCGTGTGCGTGCTGGCTGTGTGCACACGCATGTGCAAGGGCCCGTGGACACATGTGGAGCAGTGGGAGGCCGTGGGGAGCGCCCTGGGGCCGTGGCCGGCGGGCGGGGTGAGACATTCCTTGCGGCGCTTGTTATTTTATCTGGTTCAAAGTCAGTTCCTGGAATGTTTTTAATTCCAGGATCCGTCCCTGCACCAGCAGCTCCCGGCCCCCCCCAGCTGCCTCTGCACCCCACGCCTGGGCTGCCAGCCCACAGCCCAGCCCCACGGCAGCACTGGGGCCTGGTGCAGGGGCCTCAGCCCTCTGGGGTCTCTGCGCCCTCAGGGATGCCCGGGGGGACCCATGGGTGCCCCAGCCTTGGCAGGTGCCCCAGAGCCGGGTGGGGGGACTGTCTGCAGCCCCGTGCGGGGGCCGGGGCTTGCCCCCACCTGGGACCCCGCTGCGGCAGACGCCGCGTTCCCAACTCGTGCCAGGGACACGCGGCAACGTCGCCCACCCGGCGTCTGGCACCACCGTGCCAGCCCCGTCTCTCGCCCGTGGGGGAGATACCGGGGGGCTGCGGGGCTGGGGCTCCGTGACGTGCCCTGTGCTGGGGGGGGGGCAGGAGGCAGCCACGGGGGTCCCAGGGCCGTGGGGGCGTGGGGTGGGCACACCGGGCACAGCCACTGCCCTCGGACGGGGGGTTCATGCACACACATGGGGGGCACACGTGTGTTGGCAGGCTGGGGGTGTTTGTGGGGTGCAGAGGGGGGGTGTGCAACGCGAGGGCTGGGCGTGCAAGGACTGACTGACGCGCTGCCCCACACATGCCCGTGGCCGGGTGTGTCCGGCACCGCGGGGCCGTGGCGTGGCCGGCGCCGTGGGCGTGCACGGGGCCCACGGGTGTGCCGGGAGCCCACGGGTGTGCCGGGAGCCCTGGGAGCTGTGGGAGCCGTGGGTGTTTCCTGGCGCACCCTCTGCAGCGAGGGCTGGGCGGAGGGACAAGGGGGGCACCCGCGCCAGCTGCCCGCACCCAGCAGCCGTGGGTGCACGGACACACACCCGCGTGCACGGGGACACACCCGTGTGCATGGGGACACTCCTACACACACACACACCTGTGCATGGACACACACACACACACACACACACACACACACACACACACCTGCCAGGTGACACCCACGCTGCCCCCCTGGCAGGCGCCACACCGCAGGCATGACGCTGGCGCTGTGGATTGCTCCATACTGGGAGCACTGGGATAAGCACAGCCTGGCAGCAGTGCCGGGTGCTGGCCGGGCTGGGGGAAGCGAGGAGGAGGAGGAGGAGGTGGTGGTGTGGCACAGTGTGGTGCCCCATGTCCTGGCTTGTCTCCTGCCGTACCCCAGACACCTCCTGTGGGTGCCTGGTCCATCCTGTGCCGTGCCATGCAGTGCCATGCCGTGCTCTGGGGCCTGTCCCAGCTCACACCCTGCAGCACCCACGGCTCCTCCAGGACTCCAAACACTGAGCTGAGCCCGTGGGATAGGAGCGGCTGTTGGGACCCCCAGGACGGGCTGGAGGTTTGAGGTCCCTGGGGGAGCCCCCACAGCACCGTGGTTTGTGTGCCCCCCCCCGTGCCCGGCTGCTGGCGCGTGTCCCTCCGCGCACACGCGTGTGCGTGTCCCCCGCGTGCCCTCCCGGCAGCCATTGCCTTACAAGGTCTCCGTGTTGCTCCTGCCGCGGTCGGCGGCTCTTCCCGTTGCCAAATTTGGCACGGGCCGGGGGTGTCGGGGGGGGCCGGGGGCTGCTGGGGGGGGGTCCCGGGTGCTGCTCTACCCGAAATGACGTCAAAGCAGGGCGCGGGGTGCCCGGTGCAGCTCCTGTCACCGCAGGAACCTGAGCTGCTTCCGCTCCCGCCCGGCTTCCTCCGGCACTCGGCTGCTCCTGGGGGTTTGGGGTCCGGCCAGCTCCCCACGGGAAGAACCGCCAAGACCCCCATCCTGTCCGTGGGGTGCTGAGTGCCCCAGGGAGCTTTGGATTGTCCCCAATCCCCAGGGTGCAGGGACAGGGGATGGGGGACATGGCAGGGGACACGTACAGGGGACACAGGCAGCCACCTCTGCCCCCTCCCCAAATAACAGCCCCCCATGAGGATTCATCCACCCCCAGGTGTGCCCAGGGCCTGAGGGTGACAGTGTCATCATGCCACCACGTCACTGTGTCTATGTCACAGGGCAGTTCCAGGGGTGTCCCAGCCCACAAGGTCCCCTGCCCTGGCACCACACGGCCACCGACACCCCAAGGCCCCCACAGTTCCCTCCCAGAGAACCTGGGGCCATGGGAAGGGGGTCCCATGGGTGGGATGGCACTGACAGATGTCCCCAGGGCCATCCCCATCCCATCACCTTTCCCGGGGCAGGGGAAAGCCACAGGACACTGACCTGCAACTGCAGGTGGGGAAACTGAGGCACAGCCAGGTTTGTGGCCATCAACCCCCCACCCTGGCCCGCGGCCGCCCCGCCGTGGCACAGGAGGCCAGGAAGGGAGGGAGGGAGGGAGGGAGAGAAGGAGGCAGCACCTGCAGCCAACCCAGCTGGTGGAACCGGCCCAGCTCCTCCAGGTGGGATGGGACCGGGAGCACCCGGTCGGATGAGCCCCTGCAGAGCCACGGGCCTGGGTCCGGCACCTGGAGAGGGTGGAAACAGCCCTTCCCTGGAGGAGGGGGCAGCTCCATCACCCCCCTCCTCCTCCTGAGGGTACACACACGTGTGTGAGTGCTGAGCACACGCGTGGGCACCTGCACAGGGCTGTGTGGGCACATCTACCTGGACAGGTGTGCAGAGCACGCGTGGAGCTGAGGACACACGGCCCTGCGTGTGCACAGGTACAGGTCATGCGTGTGCACGGGCACACGGCTGTGTGTCACTGAGGGCAATGACCTCAAGGTGCTGCAGGCAGGATGAGGGGGTGCCCAGCTGTCCTGTGTGCCCCCCCCCCACCCCCTTTTTCCTCCCCCATAACAACGCCAGGCACGGTTGCATCCAGACTGCCCAAATTTATTTCAAAAATAAAAAATAAAATATTAAAGACCGAAAAAGCCTCGCTCTCCCCCCCGCCCCCCCTCTCCCCAAAACACACAAAAAAAAAAAAAAAAAGACTTTTACAGACAAAAAACACATCACGTGGGGGCTCTATTTGCACAGATCCTGACGGAAAAAAATCCAAGTCGGACAAGAAAAAGGATCCTACGGCCTATGAAGACTATGTCAGTATTGGCTCAGTCGGGTCATTAATGTCTATAAATACCAGCCTCACGGCCGGGACCGAGTTTGGGGTTATTTATTCAGGTTTTTTCTCTTTTTTTTTTCTTCTCCTTTTTTTTTTTTTTTTTTATTTTAAAAAAAAAAACCCACCCCCCCAAGTGGGGGGGGGGAAGGAGCCCAGCGCCGCGGAGTTTGGGCTCGGCCGCGGAGGGAAAGCGCCTTGGCTTCTCCCCCCCCAAAAAAAAATGAACACCCCCCCAAAACAAAGCCCCCCCCACCCCGTCCCCCCTCCCCGGGCTGCGGCGGCGGGGCCCAGGCACACACGTGTCCCCCCCCCCGACTGCCCGGGGGGGCCCAGCCCCGCAGCCGAGCAATGCTACATATAGAAGGGAAGGAAAACAAACGGCCCCCAAATCGGGGGGGCTCCAGCACCTCCGAGAGAGACTTCACCTCCTCCTGCCTGCACCGGGGGGGGGTGACGCGGGGGGGGGCCCAGAGCTCCCCCCGCTGAGCCCCTCTTCACAGCAAAGCAGCAGCTTCGATATGTCCCAGGACCCCCCCCGGGGGGTGTTGGGACCCCCCATTCCCAGCTGGGGAGGCTGCGGGGAGGGGGCGGCTCCAGCTGCTCCCCCCCATCTCCCCAAACCCAAGCGACCGGGGGGTGGGGGGCTCTCCCTGTGACACGCGGGTCGGCCCGAGGCGTCCGGTTGTGGGAGACGGCGAATCTCGAGGAGCCCCGGCCCGTGACACCCGCGCCAACGGGACCCCCCGGCACAGTCCCCCGGGTTTCCCCCCCGGGCACGGGCTCTCTATGCTACGACAAACTCGGATTTCATCTCGGCCTTGACCTCTGGCTTCCAGACCGAGTCCTCGAAGTCCAGGTCCAGGCTGCCCTCGCTGGAGACGCTGCTGTTGCTGTTGGTGCGCCCGGCCTTGCGGTTGGGCACCCAGTGGTACGGTGCCCGCGCGTCCCGCCGCGCCTTCCGCCGCAGCCGCTTCTGCTGCAGCAGCAGCTGCAGCCGCTCCACCTTGCAGCGCGTCGCCCGGTTCTCCGTCTGCCTCAGGCGGTCCCCTGCGGGGGGAAAGGGGGCAGGGGGTCAAGGGGGGCTGCCATGGATGGCTGGGGGTGGGGGGCATGCGGGCCCCCAGGCAGCCGCTCGTGGCACAGATGTGTGGACACCCCCACAGCAGGGGGAAGGGGGGTCATGGGGACCTGCCCTGAGCCACATCCAGGGGGACACACAGCCCCCCAC